TAATGGTCTACAGGTTGCCTCCCATCCCCTGCCCCACCCCGCTTACCTGGCCTATTGGGGTCAAGAGCCTGGGAGCAGCAAACTGCCACCTGGAGAAAGAAGAGGAAAGCCCAGCTGGGTGGGGGAAGGGACATGCCTCCCTTTCAGGGTGAAAGAGGGCGTGTAGACTCATGGAATTCAGCCAGGACACAACATGGTTCACTCACGTTCCACAATATTTCTGAGCCCTGGCTGTGGGCCTGGCTGTGCAGGGTGCTGGGTACACAGTTGTAAACAAGATCGGGCCTGGGGTTCCCAACGGGTTTGGTGGCCAGTCCAGGAGATGGACATGTGACAGCGTGTCTTCAGTACAGCCCTATCTGTGCTGAGAGAAGCATCAGCATAGGGTACTCTGCAGATACAATCCCGATCGTGTAGGGGGTGAACAGGAAAGGGATGAGGGAAGGCTTCCTGGAGGAGGTGAGTCTTAGCTGGGTTGTGAAGATGAGTAGAAGTTAGTCAGGCAAAGGGAACACATACGAGGACCCAAAGGTGAGGGAGAATGCAGTGATTTCAGAAAGCTTCAGGGAGGCCAAGGCTGGTGTGTGGTGAGCAGGTGGGGAGGGGTGAGTGGAGGCTGGAGAGGTCCTGCAGGGCCTGGAAGCTTGGAAGGATTTAGAGTTTCCTGGGCTGCTGCTAAAGGGACACTGTGCATAGACTCCATGGACTGTGACCCTGCCCGATAGGATCCTGGAAGGGGCCAGGGTCATCCTCAGCACAGCACGTGAGCAGCCCGTCCCCGGCCCTCTCTCCCCGGAACCCAAAGCTGGGGGCGGTGTGTGGAAGGACTTGAAAACCTCCTGACTGACATTTAGCAAAGTGTCATTTAGTGGAAGGGGCAAAATGCCAGTACCAAGGAGAGGGCAGAGGACATGATCACCCCCATGCAGAAAATAAGGGATGCATTGTCTGTAGGGAATTTAAAAGTTCTAATAACACAGAGGAAGGGTCAGACTGCTTCCTGTGATCGCCACGTGGCACAATTCTGAACACTGTCGGTGACTCAACACTCCTCCCCAAAGGCGCCGTCTGTTGGCCTAGATTCTAGACGATTCCTGCAATTCCTGGGGCTGTAATAATCACAGGTGTAAGTTTCAAATGAATGCCTTTCATTGCTTGTCCTTTGATAAGCACTGTGTTCTCCGTGGACGTCGATGTGGAGAATTCCCACTTGTAGGAGGCTCCCTCAGCCACATGCATTCTTTTGGAGAGAAAGTTCTAGGGGTTCAGGATCATCTGAGCTGGCACTGGCCACCCTTCGTGCCTCCCGTCCCCTGGAGCCCTGCCTGACCTTGCCTTGAAACAGCTGGTTTGGTATAAAGTGAAAACACAGGGATCATAAAGATGAAGGGACGGAACTTGATTGCCTGCAATTCTGTCCCTCCGTGTGACCATTTGGAGTTTTAATTTCTGTTTAAAATTTAAAAGTGCAAACTGCAAAGTATAATATTTTGAGTGCAAACTTCACTTCATATGTGAATATTTTACTGAATTTGAATAATATCTTTAACATTGAAACATTATTTAAAAATTTTTAATTGTTTATTTTAAACCTAAAAAACAAATCAAGAAAACAGAAACTGTAATGATATATTAAATATTATATTAAAACCAATATGTAGGTAGTTTTTCTCTATTTAAAACACACGCATGTAATTAAAAAGCATTAATTCATTACACTTTTTTATTGTAATTTTTTATTTCTTTACTGGCATGATTATATGTACACAGTTTAATAAAGGAGAACTTTCACGCACGTCTTTTGTAGTCATTATTATTATTTGTTTCGTTTAATGGGTATTACCCAATGTAATTTTGTTGTGTGGAGGAAAAGGTATCAAAGAATAATCCACTTCCGCTATCAGACATTCTAGGTCGCCAGTGGGAAACACTTAGCCCCAAGGAAAATCTAAAATCTTTCCATTGAGGTCCCAGGGGGCATCATGAAGAGCCCGCGTGGGGAATATGTGGGGCCTGTGCCCCTTGCTCACTCCTCTCTTCTCGTCTCTGGGTGTGGTTGACCCTGACCACAGAAAAAAAGCAGATGTCAAGGCTGACCACTGTGAGAACTGGCCTGGACCCCGCATGGCCAGGCCTGCCCCATAGCGAAAGTCACAGTCGGAGAGGGGGCAGGTGCCCAAACTGGAGAACCCCTGGAGGGCTTCTCTCTCCACCACTGTCACTCCACTCAGTTTCCAGTGGTCCCGGCACCAGCAGCTGGCAGACCCACTCTGATGGGAGGAGAAGGGCTCAGAGACCAGGGTCTGCACAGCCCTAACTGGGGAGGCTCCCTCGCCTTCCTTCCTCCCTTCCTCCCTTCTTTCCTCTCTTCCTTCCTTCCTTCCAGGTGCCCAGGCCTGGATGGTCTGCAAAGCTGTTGTACCCACTGCCCCCTACCCTTCAACCTGAGGGTCATTGCTGTCCTTGCGGGCCAGCCTGGACTGAGCTCAATAAAGGAAGCAACAGTGGGACCAAACAACAAGGTTTAGTCAACGTTGTCGAGTGCCTGCTGTGTGCCATTTGACCGGGGGGAGGGCGGCTAGAGGTTGCCCAAGTGGATGACGGTCTGGGATGGGGGCCCAGGCCAGTTCTTAGTCACCTCTGTACTGCCCTCCTGGGTGCAAAGTGCTGTGGCTCCCAGAGGGAGACTTTCTGCAGACTCAGTAGAGGCCTGGAAGCAGACAAGAGGAAGGGTTGTCCGCGGAGGGTCGAGATGGCTGGAGCATAGGGGCAGAGTCCTGTGGGAGGGCAGCAGAGAGCAGGCTGCAGGGGCAGGAGAACCAGGTGGCAGACCTAGCTTTTCCTTTGGTTTCCTTGCCTGAACCTCTGCCTGCCAGCAGGGCGCCCCGGAACCTGCCCTCTGTAGACTGGTTGTACAGGGCTTCTCAATGGTCCCCGCTTGCCTCTCATCACCACCTCGAGCAGTCAATAGGCCAAACCCCCCAGAGATGGGCCAACATGGCACGGCTGGGTCTACAGCCCGGGGTTCTGTCTCGAGCTTGTCACAAGAACCCATGGTAGCCCACAGCTGTGGCAAACCCTTGCACAACACACTACCGCTGAAGAATTAGAGTCCTCTCCGAAGGGAGAACAGAGCTCACTCTGAGTCCTCTTCAGGGGGGGACCCTGGAAGGAGGGCAACCCAGGTTATAGACACCCCACCCCAGCTTCCAGCCTTCTGCGGGCATCTGGCTTCCTGAGGGCAGTGGAGGTGAAGCGTATTTGAGGAGCACACTGTCACTTTTCACATCTTTCTCCTTCGTGACCATCATGGTCCTCATCTCGCAGGTTTGGAAGCTGGGGTCCAGGGAGTGGTGTGATTTACTCCAAGTCATGCAGGGGGTCAGCAACAAGGAACTCAATGTCCTTCATCAACTACACAGTGACTTTCCATCCAGGCCCCCTGGTCACAGGAAAGGGGCCCCTGTTGAAGACAAGGAGATAAAATCAGCAGGGCCCAGACCTTCAACGGGAGCTTGTGAAAGTGCCCACCAAAAGGGCTGCTTCAAGAGCAACTGTCGGCTGGTGGTGTGGGTGTGGGAGCAGGGGCTGGCAGGCAGGGCATGGGGGACAGAAGGCAGGAGGTAAGGATACTGGGAACAGCCCTGCTGGGAGTCTGGAGCAGGCACAGGGTCTGCCCTGAGGAAGGACAGCCATGTCCAGCTGAAGAAGGGCCGAGGACAGGCAGGCTGCAGGGTGCAGCAGGGGCGATTCTGGAGCTGTGTATGGAGAGACAAGCACATGTTCTCCAGGCAGGCCAGGATGGGGTCGGGGCAAAGGATGAGCATAGCTCACCCAGTGGAGGGACCTGCAGGAGAGGCAAGGAGGTGTGAGAGGGCACGGGCCCCTGGGGGAAGACCGACGGGGGGCGTTCTACCATTAAGATGTGGAAATGGAGACCCAGCCAAGGTTGCACAGGTAGTGACAGAGCCAGTTGCCACCCAGGTCACTCTGAGCCCACTACAGCAGCCTCCTCTAAGGAAGCTACTGCTGGTCAAGCCCAGTAGGAAGTCAGAATTGACACCCACTGCTCAGTGCAAACCTACCATGGATACACACTGAAGAAACAGGGAGAGAAGCACTCAGCCCAAGACAGTTCCTCAGCTTCTATGGAGGCTTGCTCCCATCACTCTGCAGGGGACTTTCCCCATGACATCGCACTGTGTGTCGCAAATGGTCCCATGCGTTAGCTCCTGAGTTCTCACCGCCAGGGCCTGCCTCAGCCATCACCTCACCCAGTCCTGGCACCTTGGAGAGAGCTGGTAGGGATAGGGAGTAAGGAGGAGGGGCTGAATCATTGATCTTAAATCATTCATTCACTCAACAAACGTCTATTTAGTACCTACTGAATGGAAGGCCTTGTGCTGGGGGGTGTGAGGAGATACAACAACACTAAGACAGATCCAGTTTCTGCCCTGTTGGGGGAGGAGAGGAGCCTTCTCAATCATCTGGCCCAATTCTCATTTTAGGGATGTGGAAACTGAGGCCCAGAGAGGGGAAGTGACTTGCCCAAGACCACACAACTAGTTCGTGGCAGAGACCTGGCCCAATCCTCTTCTGCAGCACGCTGCTGCTCAGTCCTCCTGCAAATGTTACTTGAGAGATGCTTTGTGTTCCAGGCGCTGCTCTGGAACTCGATAGCAAAGAGGGTGCGGATGGGGTGAATGGGTGGGAGGGAAGAACATCCCCAGACCAGCGAGGGGTGGGGTGGGGGTGGGATGTGTCAGTCTCAAGACTCCCCCAAAAATGAGGGAAGTTCCAGAGCTCCACCTCAAGGGGCTGGACTTCTGGGGCCCAGAGCTCCCCTCCCCCACCCCAGGACGGGATATAAAAGTCCTTCCCAGCTACTTCCACAGAAGAGCAGAAGGGGAGAGGTCAGCTTGGGTCCTCTGGGTGAGAAGTGAGCACGGGACTCCACCCATGCACAGGACGTGTGTTTCGGTGGCTTAACGCGCTGTGGCTGGGGGTCTCATTGCGAAGATGAAGCTGCTCCTGACCCTGGCAGGTGTCCTAGCTGCACTCATCCTGGCCCAGCTCTGTGAGGGCACTGCCCCAGGTAATAGCCCCTTGGGCGGCCCAGGAGGAGGGCAATGGAGGGGGAAGAACTTGGGTGTGGGGGGCCTGCAGCTCCCCTGGACCCTGAGTTCCCTTCCCTCTGAACAGCCTCCCCCAGGGCAGTGGAGACCTCGGTCCTTCGGGGCTGCATAACAGAGGCCAAGTTGCTGGTGGATGCGGCCTACAATCAGACTCAGAGGAGGTAGGTCTGGGTCTGAGGACTGCATGGGCCTGAGAGGGTAGATGAGGCAGGATGGGCTCCAGCCAAGGTCACCTCACCCATCATCCTGCCCCTGGGCGCCATGGGGCAGTGCCACGTGTGTAGAGAGCCTCCCTCCCATCCATCATTCTGTCTGCTTAAACTGTCCTGACTGCCTGCCGCCGGCCTGGGGATCTGCTGGGTGAGTCTGCTTCCTTTCTCCAGCCCTCATCCCTCCTCTCCTGGGCAGCATGAAGCAGCGCCTTCGCAGTGGATTGGCCAGCCCCATGGACCTGCTCTCCTACTTCAAACGACCAGCAGCGGCCACCAGGACAGTCGTTCGGGCTGCCGATTATATGCATGTGGCCTTGGGGCTGCTGGAGGAGAAGTTACAACTCCAGGGGTCCAGATCCTTCAATGTCACTGGTACTGTGCTCCCTACTGAGCCCCCAGGGCCTTCCCTAGCCTGGGAGTGGAAGGAAGCCAGGAGGGGGAGGCAGGGTACACAGCCTTGGGGTGTTGGGAGGGGAGAGGTAAAGGGATGAGAGATACTGAGCAGACAAGCTCAGGAAGGAGCTAGAATCCTGGGTCCAGGCCCCTATTCACCTCCCCCCCCAAGATGTGCTAACAGAACCCCAGCTGCGGCTGCTGTCCCAGGCCACTGGCTGTGCTCTCCAGGACCAGGCCGAGAAGTGCAGTAACAAATATCGCACCATCACCGGGAGATGCAACAACAAGTGGGTGCCAGGGCCTGCGCCTGACCTGGGGGGTGCCTCCCTTCCCTCATCCACCCTTCCCTACACGCTGAGTGGTCTCAAGGCCCAGAACTCTGCTGACTTGAGCCCACCTACTGCTTCAGGAAGAGACCCTGGCTGGGGGCCTCCAATCAGCCCCTGGCTCGCTGGCTGCCAGCTGAGTATGAGGATAGGCTGTCGCTCCCCTTCGGCTGGACCCCCGGCAAGAAGCGCAATGGCTTCCCCCTCCCTCTTGTGAGTCAGGGCTGAGGGTCTGGAGGATGCTCCTTCTCTTCTAAACACGGGAGTCAAAGTGGAGCCCAGAGTCAGCCAGACAGGGCTCAAATCTAGGCTCTACCACTGGCCGGCTGTGTGACTTTGGGCAGGCAATACAGCTGAGTCTCAGTTTCCTCATCTGTAAGATGGCAGTAAAACCTACCTCATATTGCCGATGTGAATATTAAATAAGGTCCCTCCTATAAACATCCACATCGGATGCGGTCTATTAGCGCTAGCTCTTACAGTATTGTTTTTTCTGAAAGAATTACTGTCAAAGTATCTTGCTAAATATAAAGAGCTACACACCTTCATCTAGCTATGTCTGCCAATCTAAATGACAACGTTTACCAGCTTATCAATTTTCTATTCATATGTCAATATAACAATCCATCACCTACATCTATCAATATCTACTTATTAATTTTTCTTCCATTGATCCTTCCATCTATCTATCCAATTCTCTCTATAGTTATCCACCACCTAGCAACCGGTCCGTGCATCTATCGATCAGTTCTATCGTCTAGTTACCCACTAGTCTATGAATTGATTTATCCATTTGATCTATTTACCTCTCTGGAAGAGCTGGTGTGGTCTCAGCCAGCCAACCTAGCACCCCCACCTTTCTCTTTACCCCTGGAATCCTCATGAGCCAAGCCAGAGACCATCTTTCTAGGAATGACAGCCACACAGGAGGTGGGACAAAATAGGAAAGGGGAGGGGAGGTCAGGAGAGGAGGAGAGATTTTGTTAACTCCAGCAGGGGCCATCTGCTGGCTCCTGAGTTCCGGGTTGGCCCCAACACCTTGCAGGGTCTGGGAGCCCATGCCCTACAGTGACCTATCTCCCCTCCAGGTCCGGGCCGTCTCCAACCAGATCGTGCGCTTCCCCAGTGAGAGGCTGACTTCCGACAGGGGCCGGGCCCTCATGTTCATGCAGTGGGGCCAGTTCATTGACCACGACTTGGACTTCTCCCCTGAGTCCCCAGCCAGAGTGGCCTTCACTGCGGGCGTCGACTGTGAGAAGACCTGCGCCCAGCTGCCCCCCTGCTTCCCCATCAAGGTACCCTCAGCCAACCTCCCAGGCCCCGGTGCAGCCTCCACCCCAGGGCTGACAGCTGGGAGTAGCGATGTGGAAGACTAAAACACCATCCTCAAGGAGCTGTCTGTGATGCTGGAGTATCAGGCAGAGATAAGAGGCACAGCCTGAAACACACCCCTGGTTCTGTGCGTCTTTGAGGGGTGGGAGTGCAACCTGCCAGGAGGTTCAGTGCAGGCTCCAGGGAAGGGAAAGCAATCGGACTGGCCTTGACCCATGGGTCTGATTCTCACAGGGGAAGCCACTGAGCTGCTGCTTTTGGAAGCCTTTAGGGCCTCTTTGCTCTTGCCCTTCTCTCTTTCCTGGGAAAGTCCAAGGGCCCTGCAGCTCCCGCCAAATCCTGGGATTGGGTGTGAGCACAGTGCTCTCCTTCAGGCTGAGAGGCAAGGGTGGTGTGAAACACTAGGGAAGAAAAAATGGACTCCAGCGAGCAGAGGGGACAGAGAGGGGCCATACACGCACACACTCTGACATGCACACCCTCACTCACACTCAAGAGGCAGGGCGACATTCATGGGGCGTGACATGTGAGGGCCCGTGGCTGGCTCCTCCCTGTTGCAACCCTATCCATTCCTCAAGCTCTGGTTCACGGGCGCCTCCTCCAGGGAGCCTTCCCATATCTTCCTATTCTATCTTTAGCTTTTGGCTTTTAGATCAAGCACAGCAAATGGCACCTCAATCTAGGGTGATAGTCTCCATATGTGTGGCTGTTTTCCCTGAAAGGCTGGCTTCCTGTACCCTGTACTGGGTCTCATTGACCTTCACAGTGTCCAAAGCACGAGCACAGAGAGGCGCTTAGGAAATATCCATCAAATTGAATGGACTGAAAGGAGCACAGGCCTAATCGACAGGAGATCTAGGTTCTAACCCCTCCTCTCCTGATAACTGTTTGCTACTTCCCTTCTCTGAGCCTCAGTTTCCCCACCTGTAAAATGAGGATCTAAGGCCTCATCCATTTCTAACCTTCCATGACTCTATGGCACAAAGTGCTGTGGATGCGCAGGTTGACCTGGTGAGCAGTATGAGTCTGGGTGAGTCAAGGAGGGCTTCCTGGAGGAGGGGAGTTTTCAGCAAGGTTTTAAAGCAGGTGGGGGATGACCAAGAAGAGTGAGCTTTCTTTCTAGGGGCCCCAGTCTCACTGGCTCCTCTTCCACCTCAGATCCCACGCAATGACCCTCGCATCAAGAACCAGAGTGACTGTATCCCTTTCTTCCGCTCGGCACCCGCATGCCCCCAAAACAAGAACAAAGTCCGAAACCAGATCAACGCTCTCACCTCTTTTGTGGATGCCAGCATGGTGTACGGCAGCGAGGTCTCCCTTGCCCAGCGGCTCCGCAACCAAACCAACTACTTTGGGCTGCTGGCTGTCAACCAACAGTTCCGTGACAATGGCCGGGACCTGCTGCCCTTCGACAATATGCGCAACGACCCCTGTCGCCTCACCAACCGCAATGCGCGCATCCCCTGTTTCTTGGCAGGTCAGACTCGGGGTTCTGGGTTGGGAAGCCACGGCGGGCTGTGACGTGGATGTATGGCCTCAGACCTCAATATTAGACACACCATAGCACAGACCTGTGGTAGTCGTCATGGAATCAGTAAGCGGGAAGGAGTCCCTTTGCAAACGCCCTGTGTGTGGCCAGCGATCACCGCTTGCCTCTCCCCAGTGATAGGGAGCTCAGGCCTATACAGTGCAATGGTCCATCTGTAGCAGCGCTGACTGTTACAAAGGTCTCCCTCATTTAGAGCCAACATCCACTTATTGCTCTTCTTCATGCTTCTGGAACTTCAGAGAAGAAGCTATCTCTCTTTCACACAGTAATAGCCTGTTTAATGACCCAAATATTTCTCTTCTCTGGGCTAAATTCCCTTAGGTTTTTATGTGCCCTCTCTCTTGCCTCACTAGACACTGTTATCTGGTACCTTCCTCTGGATGCCTGATGTCAACTCTCCTGGGGCCTTTGCCCCATGTGCTGGTTATAATGATAATGGTCATTGTTTCTGGTTATTTATGACATTTAAAGGCGCCATCTCTAATCCTTACAGCAGCCCTGGAAGGAGGGCATTTTTATCACCTTCGTCTGACAGACGAGAAACTGAGGCTGGGGGAAGATAACTAATGTGCTCAGAGCACAGATTTCAGGTGGCAGAGTCCACAGTGGGCACTCAAGTCAGCGTAGTGTCCGGTCTGTGACCTTCCCACTCGACTCCACCGCTTTCTTCTCAGGGAGTTGGCTCCAGCCGCCTTTCCTAAGGATTGTGTATTTCTTTGCTCCTGGCAAGAGCAGCGTGCACCTTCACGAGAGGTCTACTAAAAAGTAGATTAAATATGACTTTGTACAAAAGGGTTTAGTTCAAGCCGGCAAATGACTGTGTGTAGGGCCCACCTTTGGGACTTGACTTTCCTTCCCGGCCTCGAGGGGAAGGTTTGCTACAGGGACGGGCTCTGCCCAACTCTCTTTCCCTTTCCCTTGGACTCCCTGGGGAGAGCAGCACGACACTAAGTCCAAAGCTGGGGGCAGGTCCGGCCCTCGGCAGAGGACGTGCAGACGGATGCAGTTCACAGGGCACGGGGGCTCACAGTCCCGAAGTCAAGGTTCCGAGAATCACCCAGCTCCCTCCGCCAGCCTTGGATCTGGTCATCTTACAGAGTGGAATCATTAGGCAAAGATTTTCCCTCCCCGTGCTTTTCCACCTCATCCAAACCTGTTCCAGTCACTTCAGGATCCAAGACCCTGTTGTCCTCCCCGTCCTGGCCCGCTGTGCGGGGGAGGAGGGTGGCGGTCAGTGGCACCTCACAGCACAGCTGAGGAAATGGAGGTCCAGTGAGGGCCAGGAATTTGGCCCAGGTCACAAAGTCCTCAGAGCTCTGACTGCCTTAGTAGAAAGCCATTCTCTGGGAAGGTCTATGATGACTCTAAACTTGGGGTTTTCCAGGTGACTCCCGATCAACTGAAACCCCCAAACTGGCAGCGCTGCACACTCTCTTTATGCGAGAGCACAACCGGCTGGCTACCGAGCTGAGACGCCTGAATCCCCGGTGGACCGGGGACAAGCTGTACCAGGAGGCTCGGAAGATCGTGGGGGCCATGGTCCAGGTAGAGAGCCCTGGGTCCCAGCATCACCTAGAAGACAATCTGGCAAGAGAAGCCACCTGAAGGAGTGGCTCCCACCTTCCTTAACACACCCTCAGGGAGGTGCCTCAAGTCAGCTAAGTCTGGGAGACTGAGGGTGTACCTGATATCTGGCCTGTACCCCCATCACTGTGTGACCCTGTTCACATCACTCAGCCTCTCTGGGCTTCAGTATCTCCATCAGCCAACAGGAAAGTAATGTTGCCACATTTGACATGATGACAATAAAGAATTAAATGTCTGAGCAGCCCTTCAAAAGGCAAGAGGCCTGTCCAAATGCCAGGGAGGAGGGTGGGCGGCCACTGAGGTAACGTTCCTCCTATGTGTCCTCTTCCAGATCATCACCTACCGAGACTTTCTGCCCCTGGTTCTGGGCAAGGCCCGGGCCAGGAAAACCCTGGGGCCCTATCGGGGGTACTGCTCCAACGTGGACCCCCGTGTGGCCAATGTTTTCACCCTGGCCTTCCGCTTTGGCCACACCATGCTCCAGCCCTTCATGTTCCGCTTGGACAGCCAGTACCGGGCCTCAGCACCCAACTCGCGTGTCCCGCTTAGCTCCGCCTTCTTTGCCAGCTGGCGAATCGTGCATGAAGGTAACCAGGTTTTCCAGAGGCAGATGGGAGTGGGAGTAGGGCCCAGCTTAGTGCCAGGAGGCAGGCTGCTGCTCAGGCCACTGCTAACCATCTCCCCAGGACAGTGAAAACAAGGAAGGTGCCACCAAGACCCTCAGTCATGGGCCTCCCAGCTCCTGAGATTAGAGGATTTCCAAAAGGGGAGGAGATGGATGTCAGAATGGTGGCTTGTGGGCCTGAAAGGAGCTTGCCTTCCACGCCTTCTTTAAGAAGTGGGGGTGACTTCTTTCCCCGCCAGCTCCAACTCCCTTCATGTCCACCCAGGCCCCTGTTTCCTGATACAAACTTTGTAGAATATAAGCGAGTGTCTTGTCCAGGTCTGAGCTAGCCTGGCACCATGTGATGATCCAAGGGGCTTCCCAGAGACTAGTCCAATCTGTGCTGCTCATATTCCCCGCCACCAGGTGGCATCGACCCCATCCTCCGAGGCCTCATGGCTACCCCTGCCAAGCTGAACCGCCAAGATTCCATGTTAGTGGATGAACTCCGGGAGAGGCTATTTCGGCAAGTGAGAAGAATCGGGCTGGACCTGGCAGCTCTCAACATGCAACGCAGCCGGGACCATGGCCTCCCAGGTGAGAGGGCTGCCTGCCCCTCCCAGGCTTCACCTGGACCAGGGCTGCTGTTGGGGGTGGGTGGGTGCGGGTTTCAGAGAGGGCCCTGGGCGCCTCCTTTCTGCCTGGGACTGTGTACAGGATGTGCTGTGTTCAGAGGCACACAAGGCCAAGGTTGATGCAGTAAAGCATCCCTGGGACCACCTTTTTGCTGTCCCTCCACGTCTTCTCCATCCACTGTAGGGTCTCTAGCTTTAGGTTCACAACAGGACCAGGACTTGGACACAGGAGCTGACAAAGGAGATCAGGACATTCCGAGTAGAGAAAAGCAGTAGATTTAAAAGGTAGAGATTAACTGCTCCATTCACCGTCAACCTGGCAAGTTCCAAGGAGGAGGAGTAAAGGTCCAGGGATATAGAAACTGGCTCCTGCTCCAAATGGAGAAAGACACAGAGCCCGAGAGGCAGGGAACAGGTGGGGTAAAATTAAGACTGCCTTGGCTGTTTGGTGAGGACATAAAAAGACTTTATCCCACGAAAGAAGAAAAACTAGGCACTTTGCTAGGAACTTTCATGGATATTAACTCATCTAGTCCTCCCAACGACCTTGAGAAACAGCTGTTACAGCCATTTCCAGAGATGAGAAAATAAGATCAGAGACATCTAGCAATTTGCCCAAGGCCACACAACAAGGAAGTAGTAAAATCTGCTTCAAGTTCAAATGTTCTCCTTTCTTCCCCCTGTTCAGGCCACAGTGTTAGGGGTAGCCTTTGGCCACTGCCTTGCTCCTCTCTGCCTCTCCCCACCTCCCACTTCCCTGTCTAAATACAACCTGAAGCCCCACCCGCCTTGGCTCACCTTTGGCCGTGTATAACGGAGCGGGGGGATTTCAACTGCACCTAACACAGCACCTGGTGGGCACACTGCGGGCACTCAAGAACCTGAATTTCTTTCCTCCCCTCCACTTGGGTGCTCCTGAAGGCTAAAGAGGCGAGGGCGCCCCCTGCTGGAGAACTGAGATTGCTAGCCACCCAAGTTGCTACAGTGAATTTCTGTTCCCTCCAAGCTGTCCCAGAAATATTTTCCTGATACTAGCTCCTGCAGTCTCCTCCAGTCCCTTCCCAAGTTCAATACTTAATTAGGAATTGGAAGACCTAGTTTGAACTCCACTTAATAGTGGGGTGATCTTGGAAAACTCATGGTTGCTCAAGCTCAACAAATATCCATTGATAAAATGGAGATTACGAAGTGCCCCACAAAGGTGTTGTGAGGATCCTGAGAGAGAATCACACAACACTTAGTACAGTACATGATGTGATTTCCCTTTGTTCAGCTGGGAGATGGGGTTTGTGAGTGGTTGTTCAATGGACGGTGTTGGGCTGGTGTTTCTTCAGGTTACGGCAAAGCTATCTCCTACCTTGCTGGTCCCTGCCACATCGTATGGCTTGGTTCTGGTGTGGGATCCTGAGAGCTGAGACATCAGTGTGGCTAGTCTTTGGAAGTCTGAGTAGGGGAAAAAATTTTTAAACAGCTTTATTCAGATATAGTCATATCATATCATAAACTTTACCCGTATGAAGTACACAATTCCATGATTCGAGTATATTTAGAGCTGTTCATCAATCACCAAATTTAATATTAGAACATAATAACAGTCACTCCCCATCCCCACCCCAGCCCCTGACAATCACTGATCTACTTTCCATCTCTACACATTTGCCTATTCTGGATCTTTCATATAAACAGAATCAGACAGCATATGGTCCTTTTCTGAGTAGATGAACTTTACCCATGCTCTTCATTTCTAGTTTTTTTCACTCATTTATTTACTCATTCATTCATTCTACAAACCTATTGAGTCTTGTATATTCCGGGTACTGTCTTATTTGTCCCTAATTAATGCACATGAGCCCAATAATACTATCATTGCGGTTATGAGTGTGGGGTTACAACAGCTTTTTACATTAGGACTCTCTCTCAGTTCGATGCACACAAAGCACGGTTGTCTGCTCACGTTGAAAATGAGCGGGCGGTGGCCTGCTCTTCGGAAGGCTCAGGGCCACTTTTGCAGCAGGGATCTTGTTCTGCCTAGTATTGCCTACCACAGGGTTCTCTCAGGAGAGAGTGTGGAGAGAAGCAGAAGCTAATGCGCGGTGGGCAGAGGTGAGACTGAAACTGCTTCTGCCCCCTTGCCCTACAGGATACAATGCCTGGAGGCGCTTCTGCAGGCTCTCCCAGCCCCGGAATCTGGCTCAGCTTAGCCGGGTGCTGAAAAACCAGGCTTTGGCAAGGAAGTTCCTGAATCTGTATGGGACACCTGACAACATTGACATCTGGGTTGGGGCCATCGCAGAACCTCTTCTGCCAGGGGCCCGAGTGGGGCCTCTTCTGGCTTGTCTCTTTGAGAACCAGTTCAGAAGAGCCCGAGATGGGGACAGGTAAGAGACTCTACCTTAAAGAGACCAGCCCCAGAGGCAGGGCAGAAAAGCACTAGCATTTCAAGACTCGACAACAGGGGAAGGTACTCTTTTTAGCTTCATCTCTTCCAAGTTCACAGGACCTGAGACCAGGAGGCTCCTCCCTGGAGAGCTTGGTCAGAGGGAGAGAGACCACTGACCCAGGCAAGGCTGATAATCGCCTGAGCTGAAGGCACCTTTAACCCAGGAGATAGACCTGTCAGCCTCGCTGTTCCAGGCTAGCAGATCCCAGAAAATATGGCAGAATGGGCTAAATCTGGTTTTCCTCCAGTAAGCTTGTGGTTTAAGACCTGACTCCCTATTGGATTTGGCATTTACCTACGTTCAAATCCAGCCCTGACCACTTAAACTACTTTGCATTTAACGCCAGGCCATTTACTTGATCCCAGAACCTGTTTCTTCATTTATAAAATGGGAATAATACCTATTTTGCAGGAGTTTTGGAGAAGTGAACGAAACAGTGTATGTAAAGTAGCCAGCACACAGCAGGTGCTCGTTATATGTTAACTCTCCCCAACCTTCACCCACGTCTCTTGACTCTCTTGGTAGGTTCTGGTGGCAGAAACGGGGTGTTTTCACCAAGAGACAGCGCAAGGCCCTGAGACGGGTTTCCTTGTCTCGAATTGTGTGTGACAATACCGGGATCACCACCGTTTCGAGGCACATCTTCAAGGCCAACACCCACCCCCGGGGCTTTGTGAGCTGCAGGAGCATCCCCAAGTTGGACCTGTCAGCCTGGCGAGGCAAATGAGGCTCGGCAGGTAAGAGGAGGCCCTCCTTCCACAGCCCTGGGCTGGGTCGGGCCCTCACATCCCTCCCTGCAGGGGACAGCTGACTCCTCTTAGGCCTCTAAGCAGAGACAACAGAATTTGTCACTAGGGACAGGGAACTCCTTCCTAGTGGCTTTCCTGTATGCTAGCTTCTGGGCTGACAGTTAATCCCGGGGCCTAGGCCTTTGGGGGGGACAATTAAGAAGTGCCAAACTAACCTCAGCTTAGTCATCAACACCCTAAAACAGCCCCATTTCTTGATACCCAGCAAGTTCCTCACTTGCCCACTTCTCCTGCTTCCACAGGAGTCCACGCCAAGCCTCCAATCTTGGAGACAAGGGGACCTACAGAAGACCACAAGCCCACCTTCTCCCCCATATCTTGCTGACGCTTTTGCTGGCTACAGAAAGCTGGTTCTTTGGCTGGGAGTGACAGCTGGTGCTCCCAGCAGCAAGGAGTCCTCCCGCCTTGGGAGCTTCTTAGCTATTAGGTCATGCATCAGCTCCAGGTGTAAGGACTTGTGAGCCAAGCAAGGCGGTCTAGAGGCCCTCATCTGAGAATAGTCATCTGGAGGGTTTCCAGCCCCTATCTCCTATTTCCCAGCTTGTCCCTGACCCCTGCCCATGACTGGGAGGCCACATGGTCCCAGCCTCTAGCCACCTCACAATCTTTCTCTGGAGCCTGCAGGCTGGGAAGCACACTCTGCTTCTACCAATAAAGCACTGCTAAGGGCACACACTGGTTTTTGCACTGGGCTGGGGAGGGCATGACCCTAGTCCCGTGCTTTGTTCCAGATGTTTAAGAGGAGGGCTGCCAAGACACAGCTGGCACTAACCTCTAAGCCTCTCTTGGGGGCTGAGTTAAGAGCATCAAAAGAAACGCTCGGGAGTAGGAAAAGGGGAAGGGCAGGAGCGTTAGGGCCTCCAGCATTGAGGCTATCTCAGACATGCCAGCAGGCTGAGCAGACAAACAGCCAACAGAACGTCAGTCAGTATAAAAGGTGTTTATGTAGAAAAAACACAATAAAAGATACCACCCTGCTAGCAGAAAGGACTGCGCACTACCTTTAGCCTTCATTTACTCCAAAAATAAGGTATATCTCAAACGCAATAAGCCCCACGCAGTAGGATGAGGCTACTCTGGAAAGAGGATGCTGAGCCTCCTGGGCCAGGAATTTAAGATCTCGCACACCTTCCTTCTTCTTTCTTGAGCCTCCATTTGTAAAAAGGGTTGTGGAGCATAAGGTACCTGCAGCCCTCTGCAACTGAGACTGAGATGAGACAGAAAAGAGGCTGTGTCAAGGACAGAACTAACTATGGGGTTACCCCAAACTCGTGTCAAACCAAAAAGCCTGCCTTGTTGTGATGCCCACTTGCAGTAGTTGAAATATGAAGATGGGGACCATATGGGGGGCACAGGGTCTCTGGTTTATTGCCACCTGGCAGGGAGAAGACCCTGCTGAAGACTAGGCAGAGGCGTCAGCCTGGGACTTTCTTAGCAGGTCAAAGTGGTCTCTAATCAGAAGGATGAAGAGGCAGGAGGGCACCGGCCTTAGATGGCGCTTGGCTTGTCCTCTTGCACGGAGGGCCGGGGCTGCAGCGAGCTAGGAGACCGTGCTCCCGAGGGGCCCACTAGGCCCTGGGGAAGCCTTTCTCGGGCCTCCTGCATGCGGCGCCGGGCTCGACGGAAGGCCTCTGCAAGGGAAGCGAATACAGCAGTCAGCTACTGATGTGGCGAGGAGCGTGGCCCATGCTGACCCTGGGTGGCAGCTGGGGAAAGAGGGGAACGTACCCAGCACACTGTGAATAGAACTCTGCTGGCTGAATCCTTCCAGACGGTCCAACACACTCCGCATCCTTTTCCGGAGGGAACTCGACTCCATGAAGGCCCTGCAGGGGAGCCCGCTACGTGGCCACGGCTGCTCTCTGGCCCTCAGGGATAAGCAGCCCCGAGGCAGAGGGCCAGGGTGACTCACCTGGACTGCTGCAGACAGTGCAAACGGAAGGTGACACTGCCTGTGGTCTCTGTGCGGAGTCCAAAGCGGCTCAGACGCTCCCCCTGTGGCACGCAGTTAGCATCAGCTTTCTGTGGTTTCTAGACCCCAGGCACCATGCCGGCCTCCTCCTGTTCTTATTCCCATTCTTGGGGAGAACAGTTGTTGGGGAAACCACTTTCCAGGACCCAGACTCCATCACCTCAAGGCTAACACTGGGCTCCCAACTGTAAATCAGGGAACATTCCAACTTCATTTGAGAATAAGCAGTCTCACAGGCTGCCTGCCAATCCTCCTCACCTCCGACGACTGAGGCCTCACTGATGGGCTGGAAGGAGGGGCCAGTTATTCTGATGGGGATCAAGGGAAATGTCTAAGTATACTATTTTCCAAAGATCTCCTAGGATAGCAGAGTAGACATTTGCACCTAGGTCAAGATGTGGCCATGACTTCCAGCTTAAGCCACAGGAAGAAAGAGGCTAAATAACAATGAAGCAATGAACAAGGGACCTTAACTCAGACCCCACCTTCTACAGAAGAGATAGGAACACAAGTTCCCAGCATGAAGTCTCCACAGAGACAAAAGTCACCTTGAAGGTTCCTGGTATCCGCACGTAGGAGATGTCCTCCAGTTCCAGAGAACCGCCGATGAAAAACCTCCTCAGCTCAGCCACGGTGCCAAGCTCCATGGGTCTCCACGTGGAGACCGTCAGGGTGTGTGAGCCTGTGCACGATGAGAACGGTGCCAGGGCCAGAAAGGGCCTGTGGTCCCTCACTGACTCTCCAGCAATGACACAGTCCTAGCCACCAGTAAAACACCTGGTCTGGTGACGACCTGACCTCTGGCGAAGGTTATCATGGCAGTTTAGGGCACCTGTTTGGACATCAGTGGGACAGACATTCAAATCTCAGCTCTGCCAGTTCTCACCTGTATACCAGGACAAGTTTCTTAACCTCTCCGAGCCTCATTCTCCTCACCTAGTAAAATGGAAATAGTAACACCTATACCTCACAAAGTGGGTGGGAAAATTAAAGAAGAAGCACTTAGCACAATGCCTGGTACACAACAGAAGATAACGGCTATTATTTCAAAATGAACGCTGATTCATTCACTACACATATGCTGAAAGCTCATTTCGCAAGGCAGCCTCTCCCTGAGGGCCGCAAGTCAAATCAGAGGAGCGTGGAGCAGCTATCAGGGACGCCCAGGCTGCTCAACTTCGCAGTTAGTGGGAATTTCACTCAGCTGTCTCTAATGGAGGGGGAAAAATGCCTCAAAAGGGGCAAGGAATCTTGTAAGAGAAATGCTTCTAATTCCTAATTATCCCTACTTCTCACTGGAAGTGGCTGAATCTTTTGGAAGTGTTAATCTTGTTCCCAGGAGCCAGGGCATGTGGGCCACATGAAGGGCAGGGACAAGAGGTCACCTGGGGTGGCAGGCAGCACCACAGCCCCGTAGCCTTCCACACGATACCTCTGCCAGAAGTCCAGTGAGAGGACCTCGCAGTAGAGCACAGGCCACTCCGGGAGAGCATCTGTGCGAGGGAGAGAAGCAGCCAGGTCATAGGAGGCCTTCACCAAGAGAGGGCACGGCGTGAGGAGACCGAAGGCCTAGGATCCACTGCTGAGCCACTCACCAGCAGATTCGTCCTCGTGGAGGAAGGAGGCCTCAAATGTGAACGGGTAGGAGAAGTAAGCCACCTTGTCCTAAAAAGGAGGAGTGTTATTTCATACTCAGTGTCATGGGGTGGGCAAGGCCTCTCTTGGAATTCGTTCTCCCTGTGGCCAATGTCAAGAACACCTTTACAAGAAAAAAAGAAAAACTATCAGCCCAGGTAGGAAATAAGAGGCTGAGAGGTGAAGGGACCCCGCAAATCAAGCTGCTACCATTCTCAAAAAGGCAGAGAGAGGAGCCTGGACCAGGTGGTGCTGCAGAGCCCGCAGAGAAGGGCCAGGCCCAACTCTGGAATTCTCCCCAGAGGGCATGGCTGCCAGGCCAATAAATCTTCAGATGCCACCCCAGGAACAGAGTCCTATTTCCTTCTAGGTAGCCCCTCTCGCTGTCCATACCATTCCCAGGGACTTGGTCACACAGGTCTGTGTTATTCCTGAGAGCTGCTGGAACGCTGGGCTTGACCAGTCTGAAAGCCAAAGACCAGATATAGTGAGTTTACCTGGGAGGAGAGCAAGTAGTTGGGGAAAAAAACAAAGTTCCTTTAGCCATTCATTCACTCATTCATTCATTTAACTTTACTGAGTGTCTGCTATGTGCTATGACCAGCCATTAGGATATTTTGGTGACCAGATAGAAAAGATCCCTGTCTCTCATGGAGCTAACATTCTAATAGGGGCAGACAGACAACAAACCAACCACAAGAGGCTATCAGGTAGTGATAAATCCTATACTAAAAATAAGCTGAGGAAGGGACTGAGTAACCTGGAGGCTCATTTAGAGTGAGTGGTGAGGAAGACTTCTCAGAGGTGACACTTAGGCTGAGACCTAAACTCAAGAAGAACCAGTCATGCAAAGATACAACAGAAAGAGCTTCAGACAAAGGAAATGGTCCTCAAAAGGCCCTATGGTGTAAAAGAACTCGGCGTGTTCAAGAGCAGAAAGAGAGTATGGCTGGAACGTTGCAAGGGAGAGAAAGGCAGGGCCAGCTCCTTCAGGGCTTGGAGTTTGGATTTTACTCTAAGTGCAAGGGGAAGCCGTGGGAGTTGTAAGCTCAAGAGATATACAGCTGGTGTACATCTCTAAGGCTCACTTTGGCTGTCGTGTATATGGCAAATGAACTGTAAGAGGGAGCAAGAGAGGAAGCAACAGGCTAAGCTAGAAACTTAATGCACTGGCCTAGGCAAGAGATGACGGTGGCTTGGGACAGGGTGCTCAAGACAACAGACAATTCAGGACATCTCTTGAAGACAGAGCTGACAGGAATTGCTGATGGAATGACTGGCTGTAGGGAGCCAGAGAAAGTGAAGAAACAAGGACGTCTCCTAGGTTTTTGGCATCAGTAACTAAGTGGCTGACATTGCCATTCTGCTAAATGGGGAAAATCATGAGGACAGGTTTGAAAGAAGAGGGAGAATCAAGAGTTCCTTTGGTCATGTTAAGCAGAAATGACAAAGAGGTAACTGGCTATGAGTCTGGAGTTCAAGGGGGAGGCCAAGGCCAGAGATAGAAATCTGGGAGTCTGAGACATATAAACAGTATTCAAGCCATGGGATGGATGAGACCACCCAGAAAAACTGTAGAGAGAGTAACAGAAGGCCCAGGCCCAGCTTTGGATATTCTAATAGTTTAAGATCAACAGAAGATAAGGAATCAGCCAAGGAGGCTAGTGAGCCACCAAGGAAAGAGAAGAGAGGAGCGTGGAGCCAGAAGCCAAGAGTTTCAGTGAGGAAAAGTAAGCCACATGAAATGCTTCTGAGAGGCCAAATAAGGTGAAAGCAGAAAAGTCACTATAGGATTTGACAACTTGGAAGTGATCTATGACCTTGAAAAGAGGAGTAACAGTTTTAGTAGGAGTGGGGAAGGAAGCCTTACCAAATGCCTCTAGAAAACTGTCAGAATGGATATAAAAAAGACAGACAAGGAATATTACTTACTAGAAGTTGGCAACTCCACAAAGAAGTGGACGTAGAGATTGTCATACTCATAGCCTTGGGCTGAAACTAAGAAAACAGGAAACTATTTCAGCTTATTCTCCTATCACCCTTAGCACCCAACCCAATCCTGAAGAGCCTACACACTTCTGAAAGCAAGTCCCTCAAGGGCCAGGAACACTGTGTTTCCAGAAAAGACTCGTGACTGAGTTTCCCATGTACTTCAGACAACCCAAGGCCTCCACTGAGGGAGGTGGAATACTTTACAGCTGTATGTGGGCACTTGCCCGAGCATCAAGAGATCTCTGTCTGGGCAAGACACTTACCTACCTCTCCATTCACAAAGAGCCGGAGGGCACCTGGGACAGTCTAAGGGAGAGAGAAGTGGGGAAAGATCAGGAGGTCTGGAAGGAAGCAGCACGTCTCCCCCAGCCTGTCCACAAATCCCCAGAAGACCTGACCCTGGATGTCAGATCTGGGTGTGTCACTGTCGCACGTCCTCCCCACCCTGCCACTTCTCCACAGATCAGTTTCCTTCATGTCTAAAATTTGTACAGTAGGAAAAAAGTAAATAATTGAAATGGAAGGGAAGGCAACACAGTATGGGAAATTTACAAGAATGGCCAAGGGAAGCAAAAACAGCTGCCCCTTGGTGTACAGTGGGAAGCTGCAGACCCCGTTCCCTTTAGATGGCTGAGGTCAAGAAACAAGGGAGTTTCCTTTGTTAATTATTTGTGTATCTATCTTATCTAACTTTTAAAACTGAACATATGTTGCTAATGCAATATAAAAATATTGAAAGTTAATTTTTTTGGGGGGGGGAGATCACTGGGTAATTTTATCCCTGTTTCAGATCTAGAAACAAAACTCCTGGAGTGAGGGAAGACAAAGAACAGGACCACAGGATAACTGACAAACTATTTCGCTTTGTTTTTTAAAAGCTAAACTATTTGACAACCAGAAATGACGCCCCTTCTCTCTCTATGGGGCACTTACAAAAAACAGCCACATGAAGAGTGCGGAAGACTTTTTCATCTTTATATTTATTTTCAAAATTAACTATAAAGTAATACGTGAGTGCATTACCATTGATAAAAATTCAAAACTACCTAAGTTTAGAGAATAAAGGTAGAAATCTCTCTCACCACCCAATACCCATCTACCATCTCCCAATCCCACCCCTCCCAGAGAAAACCACCGACAGCACGTGTGCACCCTTTCAGACCATTTTCTGTACACTAACAGTTCTATATCTATATACAATGTTTTAAAACACATAAGGATTATAATCTGTACACTATCGTTTGACTTCCTTTTTACACTGAAGAGTATGTCTTAGGACCTTTGCGAGAGGCACTATTACTCAGCCACAGTCAGAATGCTCCGGCTAAGCCCAGCTCACGGTGCTGCAAGAAGCCAAGCTACTCACCATCTCGAAGTCAGTGCCCACGAGGCTATTGAGATACTCCTTGTGCCGGCCATAAAGCTGAGGGAACAAACCAAACCAAGACTCAAGATGCGATCCCCGCCAGACCAGGTTCAGTCTGAATGGGAGGGAGAGAAGCAGTACTGGGGAATGCCACAGAGAGCTGGAGGCCTATGCATCACCCCAGCCACTGACGTTTTAAAGTGAAGCACTGAGGCTCTGGAATCCGCTGGTCTGGGACTTGCTCTTACAGTTCTTGCTCTTACAGGCTACGTGACCTTGGGCAGACTGCTTAGCTTCTCAACCTCAATTTCTCATATATAAAATGGTAAAAATAAAAGCATTCACTTCAAAGGGTTGTTGTACGGTCTAAATGAAATAAAGTATGCGACGTGCCTACCACAGAGCATGGTAAATGCTCAAATAAATGGTCATTGTTATTATTATTGTTATATTATGATCAAAAGCTTGTGTCTGATATGTCAGCAATGCTTCCTAAGTCAAGAGGGCCATTAACAGCAGACCTTGCAAGTGCTGACATCAACCTCAGACACGGTCTCAGCTCCCAGGCACTGAGGCTCATCCCTTTGGTACTTGGAGTGAACGAGCTCTTACATCCTTGAACACACGCTGTTCCCGCTCCTCCTCCTCCGGCTGTGCGAGGGAGGACACGTTGTCAATCGTATACTTCCACAGCTCCTGTTTCTCCCCCTCGGTCTCGATTCTGTAAGGTCAAAGCCACAAAAAGACCAACTCTGAAAATAAGAGATGGGTCCCCCAGACCTAGCCCAAGGATGAGCCATCACTGGCCACACAACTCACTTACAGTATATGATAACGAAAATGGCCAGAAATACAACAAGGCGAGGGACACAAAACAGCAAAGCAGAAACGGCACCAGACTACACTCAGAGGGTAAAGGTTCTGGGCGCAATTCTGCCTTAAAGTCATGGTGAAACCCTAAACACAACATCCCTGGCACCCCATTCTCTCACCTGAAAAATGGACAGGTGGGTCTGGATAATTTCTAATTTACAGCTGTTACTCTAATACAGAGAGATGAGGAACAATCAGCCTGGAGGAAAAGACCTGGCTGAGTTCGTCTCTCCTTCTTCTGGTTAGTTCTTATGTTCAGCAGCACAGAGAACTATTTTCACATCGCTACACAGCTGGAGTTATCACTTTCAAATTGGTGTAGTTGCATGTTTTCTGAGAAAAAGATGCCTAGAATCCTAAGGGTCTATGACCCAGAATAGAATATGAACCATTGCCTGGGAATTTAAGTTAGAACAGAGGAAGGGCTGTCTGAGAAGCTTTTCCACTAGGGCCAAGAAGAGAAGCCAAGGGAAGGAATGCCAGCCTCCACTACCCTTTTCTTCCTCTCCACACCTGTAGGGTCCTTTGAGGCCGGTGAAGTCAGGTTTTACTGTGATCACACCATTGCTGTCCACCTTCAGAGTACAGAGGACATGTTCATACTTCTTATAGCCAAGCCTAGAAAACAGGAAATCAACACCAAGGTTCAGGATCGCTGGTCCCACCTCCAGAGAAAGAGGAAGAAGTAGTCAGCCCACATCAGGGAGAGGACAGAGGCTCTAGGGAGCATTATCATGGTAAAATATTTTCTCCGGAGTACAACTAAGAAGAAAAAGAAGAAAAAGTCCCTCCCCCTATACACCCCGGATGCCTGTAACAGGTAGGGGATGGTTAGTGAGAAGAGGTGAGGATGAGGATGTGAGCTGGGCAGCGAGAATCTTCACTCACTTTCCATAGGGTCCCAGGTCTGCCATGATGTACATTGTCTGAAGAGGGGTGTTGATGACATGACTGTTCCTGATGAACTCTTCTGAGGGTTCCCAGGTAACGATTCGTGACTTGAGGATGCCGCCCTCCCTGAGAGACACCACAGGAAAGGTCACTTCTCTGGCACCCCCAAAGAGCCTGAAGGAGGAACACAGAGGAGCATACCCAGGTGGGGGCCTACTGCAGAATGGGAAGCTCCAGTTGGTGGACATATGGAGAACACTGGCGTAAAGGACCATGAAGGCCCCCCACAGTCCCCATACACCCTTGCACTCACATCCCTCGCCTGTCCTGCCGTCGCCGCCTGACATTTGCCATTCGCTCGACCAAGAATGATGGCACCTCGCTGGCTGCAGTGGTCATTTTCTGACAGTGCTGGGAAAAGAGAGCAGCCCCGTGTAACCCATCTAGTCAGGGCCACATGGGACCAAATACCTGAAGGCAAGTTTTCCTTCTGAAACCTCATCCAGGACCTGACCTAACAGGTACAGACACCTCACAATTATACATGCTAACAGAGGGGAGCAGTGGCACAAACGACCCAAAGAAGATTCCTCCCACACCTTGATTTGCCCTAAGATTTTAGCTGCATACTACCCTTCAGAAATGAGTTTATTTGTGCTAATATTAAAATGACTCTTCAATCTCTGAGCACATACCAACGAAAAGTTGGGTGAGTTTGCCTGGTAGATGTTGACGTTAACCAGGTAGTCAGAAGATGCCAGATGGGACGTAAGTATTCTGTGGAAAATCCTCACATGGCTAACTGAGCACTAACTGTAATTTGCTTTACTTTTCCAAAAGACAACCCAAATTTTATACACTACCAACCCACAGCTTTCCTAATACAAGCATCAATCTTTCAAAAACATTCATTTAACACCTGCACCTTGCAGAGATCTACAAGATCATAAACAAAAATCAGAAAATACAGGCTCTACTCTCAAGGAGTTTAAAATCTCAGTGAGAAGACAGAAGATATTATACAGTGACTGAAGAAACTGTAAAACAAGTCCACAAGGGTATGTTGGCACAAACAAATCGAGAACTTAAGTCATTCTCCATGGCTGTGCTGAATTCCTTTACAAACCCAGATACCAAGAGTTTTGGCTGAATCTCCTGATGAATTTTATCTGGCTGGTTCAAGACTCCACCCACTTGTCTTATCACGTGATGCATGGAGGAAGTCAAGCCTGGTGGCTCCTTTTTCTGATTTGCAGTCTGTAAGCCTATCATCAGAGACATTGCTGGCTCCCCCAGGCCCTCCAGCAGGCAGAGAAGGGAGCAGCAGCCACACCACCTGCAGACCGTGCCCACCCTACTTAGCTTGGCTGCCAGCAGCACAAGGCGGTTCCTAGACAGGCTGTTTCTCCTTAACAGGCTTCTGACTTAACACACAGAACCTAGTGAGGCCAGAAAGCTAGGGGAGGGAAAGGAGATGGAAGCTATGGGACCTCATTAGGAACAATACCTCCTCCAAATTGGTGTATCTATCAGAGTCAGTGTAGGTAAAGATCCGTCGGTTCTTCCTGCCACCCGAATTCTCCAGCTTCAGGATTTCTTGACGGTACTGATGATCCAAAGGGCTCTGACAGGCTGCTTCATTTTGGTACAGATCTACTTCAAACTGAGGTCACAAGAAAACAGAGATCTACTGAGAATACGTCCAACTTTTGTTCCTATAAGTGCTTAGTCAAATCAGTCCTATAGAGCTGATGCAATCTGACATGTTTTCTTAGCCAACTCTCAATTCACCTAAACTAATGGAGGGTAGGGGATCCAAAGAATGTTGGAGCTAAAAGGAACCAGAGTGATGGTCTCATCCAAGTCTGCTGTTACAGATGGCATGTGGCCCAGAGGTGAACAGTGCCTTACCAAGGATGATAAACTGGGTAGTGGCAGTCCCTATGTTACATTGCCCCTGTAAACACAACAGGGTAAAGTGTAAACTGCTACGACCTTTCTGGAAATCAGTTTGGCAATAAGTTATCAAGACTCCTTCCTTGCTACCAGCCAGGTGGAGGGAGACTGAACAAAGTGACAGCGGCTCACCTGGCTAAAGAGCTTCTCCTGCCACCCAATCACGACCTCCTCCTCTTCATCTTCATCTGGTCGGTGTCCACCTCCCAAGAGAACAGAATGAGTTGAATGTTTAAGCCAAACCAGCACCACTTCTCGCTCTGTGATTCATTCTAACCAAAGTCCCTGCTCTAATATTTGCCACCAAACAAGTTGGAGTTCAGTGTTTTATTAAGCACTCACTCTAGACAAAGCTTAGAGAGGCTGTGGACATGTCTAGAAGCTAGGATTAGGACCCAAGAAGTCTTAATCACGACTCTAATTTGAATAAAAGGAAGTCATGTCTTCCAGGAATTATTAATTTAATTCAGTGCCAAGAGCTGAAATTTAGATATAGGCTGACTAGCTCTTCCTCAAACCCAGTTGTCTACATTTGCTAGACAGGAACCCTGGCATTTTCACCTTTACTATTGTGAAGCCATATATCTAGAATCACAAGCACTGTAACCTTAGGAGACCAGGTAACAGAAGAGAAGAGGAAAGGCAAATAAATGATTATTTAAAGAACCAAATCTAATACTCCTGGCTGAGTATGCCTTTTTCAGAGATACATGCTTCACAGCCACCAGCCACACTCTTGTCCAGAAACATATCTGAACAGAAACAACAAAAGCAGAGAGAACAGTGACTTAACACAAACACACTGTTTTCTCCTCCTCACTCTTCCAGCTTCCTAAATAAGGAAAACCGCAAGAGGGCCGTTGATGTTAATATGCACATTTTTCAAGCAGACCCCAATTTTAAAATTGTTTTACAAAGTGTTTGGAGCATATTTTCTCTTAGAAAAAAAATGCCACAAATGATATTTAGGTTGACAGGCACATTTATAACATCTAAAGTATGGCTTTTGTTACTTTATTATATTTGCCCACAATTCGGATCAGTACCTTGAAGGCAGGAATCAAGTCTTATTCAATTTTCATGCACAACATAACGGAGTAGTTAAAATTACCTGGGATCAAATCCTGGCTTCAACATTTACCAGCCGTGTGACCTTGGGCAAAGAACTCAACCTCTCTATGCCTTTTCTCAGATGACAGACCTGGGTCTACCCTGTCTTAAGAGTTAACTACCGCCCCAGGCCCTTCCCCAGACCCCCAAGGGGCCGCATCACCACCAGACACCCACTGGCAGTTGGGGGAGGCCTAAACGTGGCCAAGTCTATGAGATCCTTCCCAAGCTGGGCAGCAGGCTGGTAATGGAGGAAGTTGCTTGACGTGATTCTTTGCAGGTGGACCCTGTCAGGAAAAGAGAAGCCCAAAATACTCGTCACAAGGCACACAACCAGGAGATGAACACAGAGCAAAGATGGAAACAAAACAGAGAAGAGGGTGGGGCTATCAAGGTGGCCGGGAGGCAGGCAACAGAGAGGAGGTGAGTGGGGCGCGGGATCCCAAGGAGAAGGGTGAGGATGAGAGTGTATTAGGGACCCAGGGCTCCGAGGAATTTGGGAGGGGCAGGGCCCTGTAAGGGCTTGCGTGGATGCGGCAGCTGTGACTGCAGAAGTTTCCGGGTAGTGAGGGCGACGAGAGGGGAGCGGGGAAGCAGTGGTCTGGATTGTAGGCGGAAGTGGGCAACAAGAAGTGAAGTTCGGACTCGAACTATCTGAGGGCATGAAAGGACGGGGCTCTGGGGCGATGCGACTACCGGAGGCGCAGATTGCGCACGGGGTCCCGGGAACGATACACGGCCTCTCCGGTGTCAGTGCTCCAGACGGCCTCCGCCATGACAGCTGCGTCACGCCGGGACTGAGCCGGAAAGCGCGCCGCCCCGTTCCCCTAGCAACGGAGACGCTGGGTTGGGAGGTGGCGGAGGCGGTGGCCTCGCGCCGGGTAGGGGCCCAGCTCAGGCCGAGGTCACGTGAATCACTGTCTAATACGTGTGCCAAAGAAGCTCGCTCGCTCCCAACGCCGGGCTTGATGCACTTTACAAATGAGGAAACTAAGACACAGCCATCGGCCCGTTTCATATAGATTCGGAAATGGTGATGGGGACCAAACCCCGTGTTCTGAGTTCTCAACCACTACTTTTTCCATCACACCACACAGCCTTCCACTGAATGCTCAGAAACTTTGGCCCGAAAATTGGTGGGTGTGACTCACAGAAGACACTCATTTTTCCCAAAAGAGTCATGGAAGGTGATGGCACTGTGGGGGATTAGAATTTGCCACCCCAAAATGTGTCTCTTTGGCTTATTATTATCTTTAAAGATTGGCACCTGTGCTAACAACTGTTGCCAATCTTGTTTTCTTCTTCTTCTTCTCCCCAAAGCCCCCCAGTACGTAGTTGTATATTCTAGTTGTAGGTCCTTCTAATTGTGCTATGTGGGACGCCACCTCAGCATGGCCTGATGAGCGGTGCCATGTCTGCACCCGGGAACCGAGTGGGTGAAACCCTGGGCCTCTGAAGCCCAGCATGCGAACTTAACCACTCAGCCATGGGGCTGGCCCGGCTTGATTATTTTTAAGGACAAGATGCTAAAGGAAACTTTGACCGTCCCCCTAATTGCCTAAAAGAATTTAAGATAAAAGAGCCTGTCCTAGGAAGGAGTTCTCACCAGAGATAATTCTAGGTGTGGTAGACAGCAAGGCATCTAGCAAGGGCCATTTTATTAAAAGATCTCTTTTGTCTCCTTGTCTATAGATGGCCCAACAAACATTTGTTTATCAAACATTTGCTTTTCCATCTCCATGTAAATTGCCTTCCTCTCCTACAGTTTGGTGAGCAGGATGGGACAAAACTTAACTGACTGGAGGCTGCTACTGCATCTGAGAGATCCTGGACCCCTGACAAGAGCCAGCAGGAGGTAAGAGTTCTTACCAGTCAGTCTCCAGGATCTCTCCCTGCATGGTCCAATGGAAGCGGGAGTGGTGAATTTTTTTCCTTTTCTAAATTTAGATTAGCAGGAGAAAATATTGGTGAAGCTAGCTTCCTGACCTCAGCAACTCTGGGATATTTGCTGTGAGTACTTGTTGGTTTATTGATCCTCGTCCTCTCAGAGATGGTCACTATTGTTCCTTGTCTCTGTCTTTGTGTCTGTGTCTTGATAGCTTGGCTTTGTGATGTTTTCAGTCTCCACCATCCAGAAGATGCATATATCTGTGTGCATCTTGGTGGCCAATTGAGTAGACTCAGGTCTGAGACACACTCTCTCTGTCAGGCTGTATCAGCTCTCAGGGGAGTTTGTCATAAGAGGTCCTAGTTGCTTTCATAAGGGTCCTTTGTCATCTCAACATTTGTTGTTTGTTAATGCTGGTCTTACTGCCTGTGCAATGAAGGCCTTTGCTTTCTTAGACTATTTTGGGGAGTGAACTTTCTGGATCTTGTGAGGGCTTCTTGTCTTGCACTCTCTTTTGGGGATGCCTCTTGTGTCCATGGTTAAGCCATAAAGTTTTGAAGCTGGATACTGGAGGGTTACTATAAATGTTCAGTAAGATTACCTTTCCAGATGTTCTCAACACAGACATAGATGAAAAGAAATTAATCTTGTCAACTTGCTGTTTTCTTGTTTAACCTGAGGGGTGACTCAAGGGTCACAAGAATTTATGAGCTTGTTTTACAGAAGGAAAAGCATGCCTTCAAGGATCGCTAGATAAGCAGTCCCCAGCTGCTGTTGATGCCCAGAAGTCAGATGGCCCAGGGGCTTTATGGGGAGTGAAAGAAACATGGATTACCCCTTTGTTTCTCCGAAACTCTTCCTGCCAAACCCCTTAGCTCTATAAAACCCCTGCTTCCTTCTCTTGTTAAGGTGGATTTGAGAGAACCCATCCTTCCGACTTCTCTTTTGGTCAATTCAAATAAACCTTTCTCCATCTCCAAGCAGATGTCTCAGTGACTGGCTTACTGCACATGGACACACGAATTTGAGATTAAGAGGTTCGGTATCAGTTTGAGTTGCTGTTAAGATCCCACTCCTCAAGGTGGCCAGATGATGGATCATTTAAATTGGAAAATCTTCTAAATTGGAAAAAATTTTTTAAGAGCTCCTGTCATAATTGTTTGATTGGGATACCTATGAAAAGACCAAATTAAAAAGGAAAAACAAAAAAAATGACTAGCCTTAAGACCCTGACTCAGGTTACAGTTAAATTGAGAAAATGTAAAAGTATAAGTGTTGATGAGAGTATAAAAGTTGGAATGTTTGAGCTAATTTTATATGAAGAGGTTATAGCAACTTTGTCTGAGTGTATTTTGAAAACGGACATTATGTCTGGCTGGGAATACTTCCCCTATCCAATGTTATAAGACTGAGACCTATTGATAAAGTCCTAATGGAACTATGATTAGAGGTGTAACAGGTGATAGAATTTAGATGAAATTTTGTAGAAAAATTGATATATTTACAGGCTTTATGTGAAGTGATTGCATCTCTTTTTGCCTGATTGTATTATAGATTGTATTCGGGGGATAGACTTCTTGTCTCACTGGGAAACATTTCCCCTGCCTGATTGTAAGACAGCATATAAATCTGCCCTTCAGACAATGTAAATTACACACACTAAAAAGAAGTCAACAGGGTTGCCTGAGCCTATACTGTATGAGACAAAAACTAGGGCCTAATATCAAATGCTAATAAAAAAGATAACAGACTCTCCCCCCCAGGGTAAATTGTTCTAAGATTAAATTGTACACAAAGAGGGCCTTTGTTAAATGCTTTGTGCAGACTTTTAAAGGTGTGGTACACTGTCCTAAAGTTTTAAAACAATAGCTGTGGAGTCTTTGTGTATGTGTGTCTATATATATGTTATATTTGTGTGATATTTTACCTCCAGAAGATATGGCCAAAATTAAGAGCTGTGTTTAATTGGCTTAAAGAGAGCACTTACATGAATTACTTCTAAATGTAGTAGAAACTAACTCAAATGTCTTTCAAGTTAATGTGATATAAAATAACCTTTAGTAAACAAAAGCTTGTTTATGTTTGTTGGTTTGGTTTAAATAAACGTGTCCTCAAAGTTATCAGCATTGTATATGATACAGGCATGGAGCTGGGTTTACTAGCCAAATAAGCTCATGTTATCTCTGGTAAAAATTTACCAGTAAAATAATAGCTTAAAATGATAAGCTAATTTTGCCTAATGTCTCATGAAGTTTTTGTAGGTAATCTAAACACAATCGTTGAGAGCAAATAATTTAAATGTAAGTGAGATAAGAGTTTATAGATAAACTTGTAGCAATAATTATATTTTATGGCTTGAGTATTTAAAATGACTTCCAAAATCTCTTTAGTAACTTGAAATTTTGAAGTTTTGCTCAGCTAAATTAAATGATGGAAAATTCATTGAATATCTAGATCATTTGTAAATAAGATAAAATATTAGACATTAATTATTAATATAGGTTAATCTACTCTTGGCTTCTTATTACAGAGAAACTAAAAAGTGTTTAGTTTTATTAGAAAACATGTCTTGTGTTTTATTAAAAGATTGTACTATGATGTAGCATGTTTCTAGAAATTATGAAAAGTGTTTATAAACTTGCCAAGCCACAGAATACTAATGTAAAAGACAGTTTATAATTGCTTACTTCTCAGTTTTCACTAAAAATTAATGTCTGTAAGGGTTAAAAATTCTAATATGTGGTTAAAGCTACAAAAATTAATAAGGAAAAATCTTTGTATTCAAAGAAAGTAAGATGTATGTTTTCAGTAAGGAAGGTATAAGAAATAAAGATTTTTGGGCTGTTAAAAAGGTTATAGAAGGTTAATAAAAACAAAAACTGAGAAAAGAACTTTGTACATGGTCAAGTTGGCTAAGATTAAAATGAATTTAATTAATTAAATGAGTTTTAATATCAAAAGTAACCTGGTCCAAAATTAGAAATTGGTTTTCTCTCTCTTAAAAGGATAATTTTCTTAAACTTTTGTTCTGCTCTTAATAAAGAAATTATAAAAAGGTTTTTCTTTACCTTTGAGTCAATCTACATTAAAGAAAGAAAAACTATGTTTTGTCAAAATAATTTCCTATGTTCAAAAAGGCTGAAGTCTCTCTATTAAGCTTTTTAGAACTGTTTGGCTCTCTATGTTTGCTTTCATAATCTTTGTCACTTTGGTTAAATGGATAACTAAGCATTGTTTCATAGAGATCTATGATATTGTGTGGGTAAATGTTATTGATATGTGTTCTTAAAAAATTATATTACAGGGCTAGCCCAGTGGTGTAGTGGTTAAGTTTGCACACTCCACTGTGGCAGCCTAGGGTTTATGGGTTTGGATCCCAGGTGTGGACCTAGCACTGCTCATCAAGCCATGCTGTGGTGGCATCCCACATAAAACAGAGGAAAATTGGCACAGATGTTAGCTCAGGGCCAATCTTCCTCACACAAACACACACAAAATTTATACAACATTCCTAAAATTCTGATCTATCCTGGTTGTTAGTCATAATTCTAGTTATTATCTTAGTGTTATGTGTCACAGAAATAGCCAATTTTTTGTTTTGTTTGTTGATTGCCATTTTTAAGTCTTTTGTCATTTACAGACAGTTTTGTTTTACTCTTCTTTTGCAAATATGTTTCATCTTCAGAGAAATTCATGGAAAGGACTCTGACACTTGCTCTAGAATACAGGTTTCTGATAAACTTTCAGATCATAAAACTGAACTGGGTAAGAAATTACAGAAGGCTAATGGAAAAACTGACGACTTCATGAAACTGCTAGCAGAAGACCAAAATCAAGAGTTGATTACACGGGACTAAATAAACTGATGAGGATGATTATAATTTTTATGACTCTTTGTTTAAAATATTGCTGATTTTTTAATGTTTTGTTTTTTGAGATTTGAGGAAATCTTTTTCTCTTAAGCTAACTATGACTTATAGAAATTTGGTTAATTATACTTTGTAAGCAGAATTGAAACATTTATCTTTTTCTCCCTACCTGATCCCTCCAGAATTTGGAAACTCTTAGTGAGTGAGTATTGTTATTTTCATGGCAATATAGTTATTTACATAAGTTCAGTAAGAATCTGTTCTCCTTATAACAGGATACAATTAAAAACATTGGTTATATTACCAAAGCTTTGACTGGAATGTCATATTTGAGAGAAACATGCATAGATTCAGATATGACTAGACAGCTTTTGAGGAACAAAGATTGACTTTATGACATAAAGCTACTTGGAAATATCGGCCTGGTGCCTTGCTTACAGGGTTCCCAGCAACCTTACCAGATGAGTAAATAAGGTCACTTCCCTGGTGGGTACCAAGAACCTCAGGATATTTTGGGGATCTTGAGAAGACAGGAATTCACCCAAATCTGTAGGTATGGCAGGCGGAGTTTGATGACAAGTCTTTGGCTTTGTTTTCCCAGCCTCAGGAGACCTATGAAGTTCAATCTGAGATCCCTTATAAAAAGTTACAGCAAAGCAGATTTAAAAGAGCCTATATGATCAATTGCTATTCTTGCTGTACTTATGTAAATAACTGGGCCAACTTTATTGAAACTAGACTTATTTTGCAAACCAGTTAGTCTTAAGTTGGCTATCTTTGGCAAAAATGAGGGTGATTTTAGAAATAAAAATATGTTTCAATAGAAACCATAGTATACATTTGTGGATATTAGATGCTAGTTCTGCCAACTGTGTTTGAGGCTTTTGTTTTTTACCTGTAAATTGAACTAGATCCTGAATTATTCTATTCTCCTGAAATATCTGGCTACAAATCTGCAAACTAATGTTTTCAATCATTTTCACTTGGAGTCACTGAGAACTGAAACCACCCTTGTTCCTGAATTCCTGCAATCTGCAGCTGGACAACTTTGATATAAAATTTGTAGAGATCACCACAATAGCACGCCTGTTGATGTGTAAGCCACTCAAGATGATACCTGAACACCTGATGACATCATCAGAGACATTTCAAACTGCAAAAGATGCTTTGACCTTGACATCTAGAAACTTCTTTACTGACTGTCCCCAGGGCTCAGAAACTGGTTTAGAATTTTCTTCAGCCATTAACCTTGTTTTTCTGTTTGTTTCTGTAGAAATGTGTCTTATTAAATACCTGATTGCTTGCTTACACATATAAACCTAACTTTGGGAGCCCATCTCCTGAAATGAATTTATCTGGACTGACCTATTGTCAGGACTAAGGGATGTATTCAATGAGATGGAACAATCTACCAACTCAGCTTCTGGACTGTGAAACTTCTTAAAGTTTCAAAGGTGGGACTGTGGGGGATCAGAATTTGCCACCCCAAAATGTATCTCTTCAGTTTGATTATTTTTAAGGACAAAGGACTCTGAAGGAAACTTTGACCTTCCCTAATTACCTGCAAGAATTTAAGATAGAAGGGCTTGTCCAGGAAGGAGCTCTCAACATAGATAATTCTAGGTGTGGTAGACAGGAAGGCATCTAGCAAGGGCCATTTTATCAAAAGATCTCTTTTGTGTCTCATTGTCTATAGCTGGCCCAACAAACATTGGTTTAGCAAACATTTGCTTTTCCATCTCCGTATAAATTGCCTTCCTCTCCTACAGCTGTTACTAATCTTAGAAGAAAAAAAAAGTGTCAGAAGACTTATTAGTCTTTGTATTGGTATTCACTGAGCCAGAGAAAGAAAAAACAAGGAAGCTAACAAGGAAGTACAAGATCTTACTACTGAACTGGTTTTTCCCTTGTGTATGTTAGTTCTGGATTTTTAAGCCACTTTGGATACTGCACTGGCCTCCTGAAAAGCCAATAAAGTACCATTCTGAAGTCATGCTTCATTGGACTATCAAAGGCAGGACACACAGTAACCTTGAGTCTAGCTCCCTGGCACTTTGGGGCTATCAATAGTTATCAGCCTTTGACATTTACTACTCCCTCAGCAGAGTAAGC